AACTATAACAATTTCAGTAGAAATTGGCATAGGACTTAGATATTATTTTTATATTTTTCTTATATTTGTTTAATTATTTCTCCTAACCCTTGTTCACATTTATTAGCTAATGATCCTATCAGTGAAAAATGTGTAATACTATATTATTTCAAAAAAAGAAGAGCTAAAGGTAAGTTAAGTAATTATTGAATTTTTGTTTATTCCTTTTTTTATTTTGTTTTTGTTCCTTTTTTATTAGAGACCAAAAGCAAGCCTCAAAAAGCAAAGGCTAGACAGAAATATGAAAGAAATGAGGAAGCTAGAAGAGGAAGAGATGAGGAAACTAGAAAAGATGATGATAGTAATAAAAGAGTTGTAACTCGTTTCTGAAGAGTATTCAATAAAGAAAAGAGACATGCAAAATAAGTAAGAGAAATTGTTAGTTTTATCTGAATAATAATTTTTGCAGCATTTGCTTTTTTTTAGTTAGGTTTCTGTCAATTTGATTTTGATAAATATCTTCCTACTGCTACTTTATTTTTATTCATTATTCCAATTTTATTCCAACTTTTTTTACTTAATATTTTGATTTTTTTTATTCGTTATTCTGACTATTTTTTATTTACTATATCAACTTTTTTTATTTATTATACCAACTTTATTCCAATTTTTTTTATTCATTATACCAACTTTATTCTGATTTTTTATTCATTATTTTATTTTAACTTTTTTTATTTAATATTCTGGCTTTTTTTTACTCACACTTCAATATTCCTCTACTATTAATTCTGATATTTCTCTACTATCAATTTTGATATTTCTCCACTATAATTCTAATATTTCTTTACTATCAATTCTGATATTTCTCCACTACAATTCTGATATTTCTTTACCATCAATTCTGATATTTCTTTACTACAATTCTGATATTCCTTTATCATTAATTCTGACACTTTTCTACTATAAACCTGACATTCCTCTACCATTAATTTTGATATTTCTCTACTATAATTTTGATATTTCTTCACTACAATTCTAATATTTTTCCAATTATTATACAAGTAATAAAATATTCAAATGTAAATCTATAGAATATTTAGAACAGTAAATATATAAAATATTTAGAATATTTAGAGCATAATCTATAATTATATAATAATAAATATAATTT